CTTTATATGCTAGGGGTTTTATTCTGTAGTCTTTTGTGTTTCCTTTGATTGCTTTTGTGGATAGTTGATTTTATTTTTTTGCCTTTAGTTAGTATTTGGTTGGTCTGCTTTCTTTGCTCCATTTTTATTTTCTCTGGTAACGTCTACTTAGCCTTAGGAGTGGTTCTATCTAGAGCAGACCCTTTACAATATCCTGTAGAGGTGGTTTGTGGGTGGCAAATGCACTCAACTTTTGCTTATCCATAAATTGTTTAATCCCTCCTTCAAATTTAAATGATAATCATGCTGGATACAGTGTTTTTGGTTCAAGGCCCCTCTCTTTCATTGCATTAAATATATCATGCCATTCTGTTCTGGCCTGTAAGGTTTCTGTTGAAAAGTCTGATGATATCCTGATGGGTTTTCCTTTGTAGGTGATCATTTTTCTCTCTGTGGCTGCCTTTAATACCCTGTCCGTGCCTTTGATCTTTGTCATTTTAATTATTATGTGTCTTGGTCTTGTCCTCCTTGGGTCCCTTGTGTTGGGAGATCTGTGGGCTTCCATGGTCTGAGAGACTATTTCTTTCCCCAGCTTGGGGAAATTTTCAGCAATTATTTCTCCATAGACACTTTCTATCCCTTTTTCTCTCTCTTCTTCTGGCACCCCTATTATGCAAATATTGTTCTGTTTGGATTGCTCACATAGTTCTCTTAATATTCTTTCATTCCTAGAGATGCTTTTATCTCTATCTCAGCTTCTCTGTCTTCCCATTCTCTGATTTCTATTCCATTAACAGTCTCTTGCATCATCCAGTCTGCTCTTAAGTCCTTCTATTGATTGTTTCATTTCTGTTATCTCCCTCTGGACTTCATCCCTTAGCTGTTGCATATTTCTCTGGAGCTCCATCAGCATGGTTATGACTTTTATTTTGAATTGTTTTTCAGGAAGATTGGTTATATCTATCTCACCAGGCCCTCTGTCTGGGGTTGTCTGAGTGATTTTTGACTGAACCAGATTCTTCTGCCTTTTCAAGGTGATAGAAGTGATCGCCGGCAGGTGGCGCATGTGTCATCTGGGAGAACAAAGTCCATTCCTGCTTTCTGGTCACCTTGCCCTTCTCTGCTGCCTGTGCCAGTTACCTGCACTACAGCAACAGTCTCTGGGTTAATCTCTTGGGCTCCCATGGGCAGTGCAGCCCTTGGGATAGCCTAGGGCACTGCGGGGTGTCCCAGACACTCTGGGTGTGTTCTCCTGTGAGAACGGTGCCTCTTCGTGCCTTCCAGACCTTGCTCCAGCTTCCTGTCTGTGCTGTGCAGTTGCACCCCAGTGGAAGACTCTGGGTCTGTTTCACTTAGCTGAGCACTGGGAGAAGTCTCTGTGTGGTTGCTGTGGGCAGGGCTGCTCCCCAGGTGCTCTGCAGCTGTGACAGGTCAGCCGGTTTGCTTGCAGCACCGGCGGGAGGTAATGAACAGTAGGCTGCTTATTCCCGTGAGGGGATTCAGAGCTGCGTTGTCACCCAGGGGTTTAGGGCGCCTGAAGTTCCTTAAGATTCCCAGCCTCCTCGGCTGAGTGTCCTGGGTCGATTTTGTCCAGCTGTTAAGCCCTTGTCCCTTTAAGACTTTTAAAAGTGCCTGCTTTTCTTTTTTTCTAGGGTAGCCGGCTGTGGGGACCCACTCACAGTCTCCGTCTTGGATTTTACTTTTCTGTTTCTCTAATATCTAGTACACCCTGCAATGTGTGTCTGTGCTCCTGGTGTAGATTACTAGGGCTGATTATTTAGCAGTCCTCTGGTTCCACTGTCTCCCCCTCTGATTATTTTCCTCCCGCCGGTGACTTGGGGTGGGGGAGTGCTGGCGTCCCGCCAGTTCACAGCTTTGTATCTTCCCCTTTTCGTGAGATGCTGAATTCTCACAGATGTAGATGTAGCCTGGCTATTGTACTGTATCTTATAGTCTCTCTTTTAGGAATAGTTGTATTTGTTGTATTTTCAAAAATATATATGGCTTTGGGAAGAGATTTCTGCTGGCCTACTCACCCTGCTATCCTGAGCCATCTCCTCACACTTGTCTAATTTAATATATAATTGGTACACTGTTACTGATTTTCTAAGGATTTATAATATTGTGATTTCTTAAAAACAAATGATATAAAAAGGTCAAGACTTTTTATTGGAAGAGAATAAAAAATTAAGTCTTAAAGTTATCCTTATATTCAGTACCAATAATTTTGTAAATTTCATTTCATATTTGATTAAATAACTATACAAAACTGTTTATTACTATAATATGTATAATAGAGAAAAACTTGGGATCACCTAATAGTTCAAAAATGGTAATTAAGTCATAGAATATCAATCCAACCATTTTTATGGGCATTAGACATATTATTATGAAGATTATTAGATGGCATAAAAAATATTTACAATATCTGGTTAAATTAAATAGGTAAAATGCAAAATTATAGGTAACTTTTGAACATATTTATGTGCAACTAAATAGTCACATGGGAAGACCTACAAAAATGAAAACAACTACAGTTATCTCTTGAACATCCCAAGTTTGAAAGCGCTGGTCTACCTATATTTTTTCAATAAACATATTGAAAAAATTTTTGGAGATTTGCAACAATTTGAAAAAAAACTCATAGATGGATGATGTAATTAAGCAATAATGAAAATATTAAAATTTAGGTATGTCATAAATCCCTAAAATATATGTAGATATTAGTTTATTTTATTATTTACTACCATAAATCAATAGTAGGTTAGTAGTAAATTTTTTTGGAAGTCAGAAGATAAGTGTGCATTTTCAACTACATAGGGGGAGGCACTCCTAACTCCTACATTGCTCAAGAGTCAACTGTATTTGAAAGGTAGGATTATGGATGAGTTTTGTTTTGAAAATAATTGTAACAACAGCAAATTGATATTGCTTTTTAATGCAACATAGAATGAAAGAAATTTGTAGACCTTAGTTTCCTCATGTGAGAAATTAAAGACTGGATTCAGTATCTCTTTGCTTATTTTGATTCTATGTATTGAGAGACTTAAGTGAAAAGTCACTAAAAATGATACATTATGAACTAATACTCATGAAAAGTAAAGTGACACATACTCTAAGGAAAGATTATAAATGATCTGATGTTGAACTACTTAGAAATATCAGCAGCAAGTATTGATTGGTTTTGTTAATCAAGCTCTGGTTTAATAACAACTTCTTTCCAAATTTGCTGGTGGGTAATAAAAAAAAAATAAACAGTTCAATTTTTAAAAAGGTAAATGGTGGTGATTTCCTGCTGGGCTAGGCTCTTCCCTTTATTAAATTTTTGATCCAGAAGTCTCCACAAAATATATTCATTACTTAATCTTACCTGAAGTTTACAAAATATGGCTAAATACACCTTTTAACAGATGACTTTCTTCTCCTGCTGAGCTATTTGCCACTTCTGCAAATTCTGTGATCTCTCAGCGAATTAAACCACACTTTACAGTATTAGTTAGATAAAAGGAGACTGTTTCTTCTTTTAAAAACCAGTTCTACTTGCAGGTAGGATAGGTGGAGCCTGCATGGCACAGACTGTTTCTAAGGGTAATAAAGCACATTGTGGGCTGGTCCTTTCAATGATTATCTGGTGAGTAATGCCTGAAAATAGCAAATAGGCCCCTAGAGTTCAGAGATTCACATTCAATGCTCATGGTGAAAACTGGTCTTATACTTTATTGCTTCATTTAGAAAAATAGGGTTTTTCTATTTCTGCCCACTTTCTCCCTGCCATGTAAAAAAAGCAGTATTGTACATGTTATCTCTAAGGTGATTTAATAGACTGCTGCTTTAAATTAAGTTTATAAAACACAGTGAGATGTAAAACTTTTTCTGAGATTCCACTGAGAATGCTAAACATTAATGTAATCTAATAAATTATATATAAGAAACAATAAATTAGACTTCCAAATAGATTAGGATATATGATAATAAATTAATTATATGAAAAATATGTACTAAATTATTAAAGGTAGCAAGCAGAAGACTTTGCAGATTATTTTGTTGTTTATTTTACTAACAATATGAAAGGCAAGGTGATTGAGCTGGGATAAGCAGAGTCAGAGAGACCATTCCTGTGGTAAGACCCAGGGAGATGTGAAGATTATACAATGAACACCAGATATAGCAATCTCCAAGGGCACTCTCAGTCTCCTTGCAATGGTATACCCAGTCTGCTCTCACTGTCAAAAGTCTGTATAGGGACTGGCACACGTATAGTCATACAAACTCACAAACCTATTTCTTAATAAACAATCTTATAATCAAATCCTGCTCACTGGAGTTAAACAATGGTTTTCAGAATTGGGTCAGTCTTGGCTGTGAGAGTAATTTGAGGAACTAAAGAAAATATCAATGTTTTGGTAAGGCCCTCGATCTAAAGAATAGAATCAGCACTTGTTATATGATAGAGTTTATTATGGTTAACAGTAATGAAAATTTGAACTAATCGTATGTATGGCTCATTTTTATATTTTTGTAATATAATTAAAAAAATGATTACAGTAGACAGTACTATGCATCACAGAAAATCATAGACTCCATCATAAATGTCAAATTACCAAAGTAAATAATTTACATGTGAATCTTAACTATAATAGAACAATATTAACTTGACTTTTATGGTTTATCTGTTTCAATCCTAATACTGTATCTTGTAGAGAAAATGTCACTGGGCAAGCCTGAAAAAAATTTTCTATATGGTTTCACAATGATAATGTTCAAAATCAGCTAAAAGAACTTGATGAGATAAATGCTTATGTGGGGCTTAATATCAAGCAAGTCTATCTGGCATCAGTAATCAAACAATTACAAAATGGAAAGTACATCTTGTACACGCTGACAGATCCATTAAATCAGGAGAACCATGGGCAGACATACTGACACTGCGAGAATTACCAGAAAGCATTAATTTCAGCATTAATAAAATGGCAGTAAATAGATGACAGCTGCCAGATGAACTAAGAAATAAGGTTACTGGCCTTGTTAAGCTCGCGTCTGATTTTCTCAGGCACAAACTGGTCGAGGTAGCGTCTGAAGTGAAGGGCATCAATGGCAACGATTTCAGTGCCACGCCGCTGCCAGTCATCCCTGTGGCAGGACAGAGTGAGGAGTGAGGTGCAGGGAACGGCACCCACAAAATAAAATTCTCAGTTTGGGTTTCCGAGACTTTGCCAGGTTAATATATATTAAAAACAAAAAAAAACAGTGGCTGTTAAGTCTCAGCAAACAGAAGGGCAGAAACACAGTTTTATTTTTAGATTCCAAAGCATACACATTATGAACTGCCAGGCATTAAAGAGTAAAATGAAAAATTATCGAGAACCAACAAATATGACATATTATAAACAGATACATCATTTACAGTGAGTCTCAGAGGTTAAAGGATTTGAGGGCAAACAAAAGGAACTTAGTTTTTTGTTTCCTCTAATACTAAAGATGTAGCATTTGTATCTTGACAAGATTTCATTGGTCCTTTGATTCGAAAGACCTGCTCTAAGTCATTAGGTTTGCAACATCACCACATATCATCCAAGAAAGAATCCCAGGAAGTCAAATGTTACAAAAAATGTGTAATGATTCAGTACAACATTTACCTATTGTGCTCACTTGCTGACAGTAAGAAAACTATTTTTAAAAAGACAGAGCAAAACAGATAATAAAATATTGCCTGTGGAAACAGGAAGGACTAGGTGAGATGATGATTTCATCTCTTTATAAACTTGCAGATAATTATTAGGAATTAAATATCCACATTGATAATTGTTGCACCCACATATTTTAACCAAAATAAAAGGAAAGAGATCAGGAGTTGACCTTGAGATATTGTAAAGAATAAACTTGTATGGCTACACAGGGATTAGCTGATTCTGCTACAATGGCTCTTTTTCATTAAAATATACACACAAACACACACAAGCTTTCAAGAATCACTTCTGTAAAAATTTACCCCTGATAAATCATTTTAGTGGGAAAAAAGGATGTCAAAGTATAAAAACATATTTCAGTAAGAAACAGGAGAAAGCAGCAGCAAAGTCCACTGTAGGTTCTGTGCCATTAGGCAAATTATTCCAACATTGGTTTCTCCCATCTACTTAATCTCACAGAAAAGTTTAAGGATAACAAAACAAGCTGATTGAAGACTTTAAACTCTAATAGGGACCTATTCTAAATAAGCCTGGATTTGGTAGTTAATCCACTGACTGCCTACAACTGGCAGCTAAGAAGTAAAGAACTCTAGAGACCTATGCCCTTCTTATTCTTAGTTCAGACTTTTGGCTTTTATTTCTCTGCTCTTCCCTTTGATATATGGAGATAGTAATACTGTTTTAACTACTTATAAACCTGAAATACTGAATTCAAAAAGAAAATTAAATTTCTGAAATAAGATTAGATGGGAGACAGAATGTACCAGGGTGAAACCCACAATCCTTAGCTTTTGGCCATGTGATACTAAAGTCAGAAATAAACTCACCTTTCACTTCCATCTTCATGGCTCCGGGCCCAACGATACGTTTCGGCATAGCCTATGTATTCACTGTACTGCTCAGTACCTGAAACAAATAATCTACCACTATTATTTTTCAGAAAATTTTTCTTAAGAGCTGCATCTTCTAAAGGGTCTTTGTTAATAAACTTAATTACCCCTTTCTGGAAGTATCTTATTGGCACATGTCAACTAGGAATAAACAACAAACAAAAAACCACTGCTCTTAACGACTTACTATAATCCACAAAGAAAAAAAATTACGTCTCCAAAAGCTACTGCAACATTTATCCTACAGCCACTGAATGTCTCAATAAAAAGAGAACAAAATACACTGTCATATTCAGCTCTTTTTTAAACAAGGAGTGCATAAACACTATGTTTTATAAAAGTTCACTGTCTTCAATGTTGGTAATATGATGGTAATATTTAATTTGCACTGTTAAGAAAAAAAATTTTACATAAAGACATTCCAAACTAAGAAAAGTGTCATTAAAATTAAATCTAGGATTTGCCTATCTATAGGTAACACACTTCAAAGGGTTTTGTAAAACCAAGATATTATGGCAGGAAAAGAAAGGGAGGGAAAAAAGCATAATTAGCATTCATCTGATAAGAACATGCACCAACCTTGCTACATAACATACATTTCTAATTTATGAGACCTGTTCATATGATAGGGAGGCATGGTGTGAAAGTCTTCCATTATTTAACTAAATAAGCTCATTCCAATTCCTATGGTGAACCCAATCAACAAAATAGTAAAATGAAAAGCTGAAAACCCTAAGCAAGAAAGTATTTTTCATATTAAAAAAAAAAGAAACTAGATATCAAAAACTAAGATTAATGATTTTCTTTAATATAATTGTCCTAATTTTGCCAGGAAATTAAATGCAAGCAGACTAACTCAGGCAGCTCAACTACTACTTATTAACAAATAACTACTCATAAAATAAAGATCCAATTCTGAAAATATGTATGACAAACAATATTCAGGGGGAAAAAATGACTCTATGATATACAGTACTTGAGAAAAATATAAATTTATAAAAACAGAGAACACATCTAATAAAAATAAAAAGAACACAAAGTCAAATCACGACATCCTAATTATGAACTTCAGATCTTTATCCAAAACCAAATTAATTTTATCTCTGGGGTCAGGTTAACTTCTTATATGTTTACTCAAACAACTCTGAAGATTTTATACCCAAAGAATAATAAATGTAGTGGTCAAGATGACAAATGATCCTCACATTTAACTATCAATTTATAGACAGGGAACAGGAGAACATGTCAAATACCATCATGAAGATGTAATCAGCAAAGTTCAGATCCTAGGAAACAGGACCAACAGTCTGGGTTGTTTACAAAAAATTCCAAGAAAAGAAAAAGAGGGAGGAATATATAAACTAAAAGAAATGAACATGAAAAAAATATCATAAGAAAGTGGGAGCAGTTATATTACTATTTGATAAAACAGACTTCAAGTCAAAGAGTGTTATGAAAGATAAAGAGGAACATCTCAGAATAATAAAAGGATCAATTCAACAGAAGGACAATTTGGGCTCTAGTTTGGTCTAACATTTGAAATATCAATTAATTAAACTCATCACCTAACAGATTAAAGAATTAATGTAATTACATCAAAAGTTGCAGAAAAGATAAAATTCAACACCTACTCATGATTAAAACTCCAGCAAAACTGGGAGCAGAAACTTCCTCAATCTGATTAGGGGTCACTACATAAAAACTTCATACTTAATGGTGAAAACATTCCACCTAAGATCAGTAAAAAATCAAGGATTACTACCCTCATCACTTCTATACAGCACTATGGTGAAGTTCCTAGCCACTGCAATAAGGGAAGAAAAGAAATAATAGTCATAAAGAGTGTAAAAAAGTAAGACTGTCCTTATTTGCAGATATGACTGTTTACATAGTAAATCCTAAGGAATAACCAAAAATGAAAGAAAGAAGAGACAGAAAAAGAAAAGAAGCTCATAACTAAATGTATAAGATCAAAGATATGTCTATGTACTAGAGCAGCAAACAATGGAAAAGTAAAATTTTAAAAAAATCCATTAAGCATAGCATCAAAAAGCAAAAACTTAGGAGTAAATGCAACAAAAGACATTGAGGAGACCACTGAGAAAAAGTAAAGGTGATCTAAATATGTCCAAGGGTGAGGAGACTCGATATTGTTATATGTCAATTTTCCTCAATGCTGTTATTCTAGCAGACTTTTTTAAAAAATAGTAATTAAGAAGGTAATCCTAAAATTCATATATAAACGCAATGAACCTAGAAGAGCCAAAACACTTGAAAAAAAAAGAAGAACAAATTTAGAGGACTCAACTAGTTGAATTCAACATTTACTTGTTCAAGGCCTAAGGAAAGACTAATTGATAAATGGAACTAAACAGAATTCATAGATAAATCCAAACTTGTACAGTAAATTGACTTTCAATTTTCATAAATTACTGACAGAACATAAAATGGGCAACAATTTTGGAAAACAGTTTGGCAATTTCTTATAAAATTAAAACACACTTCCACCCTTTGACCTAGAAATTCCATTCCTGGGTATTTACCAAACAGAAACTGAAAATGTCACAAAATTGAAAATGTCCATAGATACAGCACACAAGAACATTAATAGCAGCTTATTCATAATAGTCTTCTATTGATCAGGGTTCAATCAAAGAAACAGAATCCGCTGGATTATATAGTAGGAGACTTACATTAGGAGATTTATAGCAAGGAATTAGCTTATGCAATTGTGGGAGCTAACTAGGCAAGTCTAAAGGACAGGATAGAAATCTCAGGCATAGGCTGAGGCTGCAGTTAACAAGGGGAAATTTTCTTCTGGGAGGCTGACTGAATCAGACCCACCCAGATTTTCTAGAATAATCTCTGCTATTTAAAATGAACAGAAGATGGGCTTTAATTACATGTATAAAATATCTTTACAGGAATGCTTAGATTAGTATTTGACTGAATAAATGGGGGCTGTGGTCTAGCCAGGTTGACATATAATAAAGACCATTGTGTAAAACAGGATTCAAGATGGTGGCATGAGAGGTGTGACAGAGAAGTCCTCCCAAAACCACATATAATATGAAAATATACTTGATACAACTAATTGTAAAAGAGCAACAGGGAAGAAGGAAGCACCAGACTGCATACAACTGGAGAAGAGAGAACTCACAAAACAGGGTAACGTACCAAAGCCTTGATCCGGCGGGACCCGAGCCATTCCTCCACCCCAGTTCACTGGCGGTAAGAAGAGAAACGGTGCGGGAAGGGGGTGGAAGCCTAAGACTGCTGAACACCCAGCCCTGGAAATGTGCTTTGGGAGCACAAACCTACATTGCATGGTACTCTGGAGATAGGTGGGGTTTGAAAGCTAAGATAGGCAGACTACTTGGAGACACTGAGATTCAAGCTGTTTGTGGAGGACAAGGATCTACATCCTGCGGATCTGGGACAAATGGAAAGGCAGGCAGTCTAAGAGGCTTGCTAGCACTGAGAGGCTGCTGAAGGGGCAGAATTTGCATGGAGACTGCTGTGTGGGAGAAGGCATAGGTGGGAAAGGTTGTCTGGGCATGCTCTGCCCAGCAAGTTGAGAACTTTCAGGAGTTTCAGGTGCTACATTTCCCTGGCTGGCTACTCAGCTCCAAGGCCCCCACACAGTGATACGCACACTGCTGCACCTTCCTCCACGTTTTGAGTGGGCACTGGCTCAAAAACCGGCAGCCTGTGCCCTGGTGTCAGGCCAGCCAGAGGGAGGCCATGCCTACAGCAGCAACAGACACAAACCACAGAGGATTATACCTGTGCGCTCGGCCCACTGGTTCTGATCTGGGAGAAAGGCACTGCAGTAGGGAAGCAGGAAAGAGCTCTTTCCTCCCCCCGGGTACCAGCACTGCTCACCTGTGACTCCCGACATCACTCCAGGGGCTGAGCACCTCCAGAGACTAGAGCTTCTGGATACCAGAGGGTGCCACATAGAAATATGAAACGTCAAAGGAATCTAGTCCAGACAAAAATTTTACAAACCCAGAAAAAGGGCCAAATGAAACTGAGCTCACCAATCTTCCTGGAAGAGAGTTCAAAATAAAAATCATAAACATGCTCATGGAGGTACATAAAAATGTTCAGAAACTCAGGGACAAATTTAGGACAGAGATTCAATCACTAAGAAATTCCATATCTAAAATGAAACATACAATGGAGGGATTTTAAAGCAGATTAGATGTAGTAGAAGAGACGGTAAATAGAATAGAAATTACAGAACAGGAATAGAAAGAAGTTGAGACAGAGAAAAAAAGGAGCTCGAAGAGCGAAAGAATATTGAGAGAACTGTGTGGCCAACTCAAACGAACAATACTCGCATTACAGGGGTATCAGAAGAAGAAGAGAGAGAAAAAGGGATATAAAGTGTCTTTGAGGAGGTAATTGCTGAAAACTTTCCTAATCTGGGAAAGGAGATACTCTCTCAGGCCATGGAGGTGCACAGATCCATAACATAAGGGACCCAAGGAAGACAACACCAAGACATATAATAATTAAAATGGCAAAGATCAAGGATAAGGACAGACTTTGAAAAGCAGCTAGAGAGAGAAAAAACATCATGTATAGAGGAAAACCCATCAGGCTATCATCAGATTTCTCAAACAGAAACCTTACAGGCCAGAAGGGAGTGGGATGATGTATTTAAGGCAATGAAGCAGAAGGGCCTAGAACCAAGAATACTCTACCTGGTAAGAGTATCATTTAAATTTGAAGGAGGGATTGACCGATTTTCAGATAAACAAAGCTGAGAGAATTTACCTCCCACAAACCACCCTACAGTGTACTGTGGAGAGACTGCTATAGATGGAAGTGTTCCTAAGGTTTAATAGCAGTCACCAGAGGTAATAAAACCACAGTAAAGAAAGCAGAACAGCTAATTACTAAGAAAATGCAAAATTAAATTGACTTTCCCCAAAGGCAATCGAGGGATAGACAAAGAGTAGAGAATATGATACCTCATACATAAAGAATGGAGTAAGAAGAAAAAGG